TCTCTTGCGAGCTTCGGCCTCATGTTTTCCTATTAATATTAATAACGCATTAATAGTAAAGATACAGGATAATAGCCTAAAAAATCCCATTAAAAGAGTTCCCCCGCCCTTCTCCCTGTTATTCCTTCCTACACCACAGGATGGTTCTGTTCCCTGTTTCCCTCAGTAAAGCGGCCGAGAAAAAAAACCCTTTTCCAAAATGCCCTCAAAAAAGGTTTTTGTAAAAAAAAGATGACTGAGGTACCTGCTTTTCTGTCCCTTAACTAGAACGTTCGAGCTTTTGTAATACCGTATATTAATGTTAATAATGAGGCGTTTCAATTAATCATAATTCGGAAAAATAAACTGAAACCCAGCGTGGCGAAAAAGTCACCGCCCGTGGAATTTGGGCGGGAAAACTAAAAAGAATGGACGGGAAGTCGGTCGTCATAGAAACGTCCTTCTTCTCGGGCATGGCGGGGGGGAACAGCCGCGCTGACGGACAAGTTCACCGTGCCACAAAAGGACGTTGAGGGGACGTCCTTTTTTCCTTGAGTCAGGAAAAACGCCCCGCCCCTCTGTTGCTCTTGAGATACAGGATAATAGCCTAAAAAAATCCCATTAAAAGAGTTTTTCCTCCCCTTCTGTTATTCCTTCCTACACCACAGGATGCTTCTGTTCCCTGTTTCCCTCAGTAAAGCGGCCGAGAAAAAATACCCTTTTCCAAAATGCCCTCAAAAGAGGATTTTTTTAAAAAAAGATGACTGCGGTACCTGCTTTTCTGTCCCTTAACGAGAGTGTTCGAGCTTTCGTAATACCGTATATTAATAATGTTAATCAGGGTTTAAAGTTGAAACCCAGCGTGGCGAAAAGGTCGCCGCCCGAGGAACTTGGGGGGGAAGACTAAAATGAATGGACGGGAAGTCGGTCGTCATAGAAACGTCCTTCTTCTCAGGCATGGGGGGGTGACGGTGGAACGGCCGCGCTGACGGACAAGTTCACAGTGCCGCAAAAGGACTTAGAAGGACTGACCGGAAGTCCGCCGTGATGGGAAGGTCATTTTTCAAAGTGGGTAGGGGACGGCTGCGGACAAGGGACAGGAAGTTCGCCTTGCCGAGGTGGTGCCGGAGAAAGGAAGTTGGGAGGACGAGTAAGAAGGTCGGACGGGATGTCGGCCATGATGGGGTGGTCATTTTTCAAAGGTACTGGGGCACCGGCGCGGACGACGGACAGGAAGTCGGCCATATTGAGAAGGTCATTTGGAACTTGATCGTCTCAAGAGCAACATAGAGGGGCGGGGCTTTTTTTCCCGACGCTCTGCTCTGCGGGCCGCACTTCTCCATCTCCTTGATCCTGGGTGAAGGGGATGCTTGTGCGATGTCACAGGGTTGCCCCCCCGTTTTGCTTTTCCTAAACAATAAAACGTCATTGTGCACGAAAAGCATTGTTCCCTTTTTTCCTAATCTTTTGTAAATCCTTGCTTTCCCGTTGGCTACTGGCTTGCGGTGGCACCGTCTTCCTTGCTTGGATAGGCCTCGACTTACGACTGGCTCATTTAGTGACCGTTGAGTTGCCATGGGACTTTTTCACCGGCTGCTGTGGCACCCCGCCAGTCACGGGATGCAAACCGGGGTCCTTGGGGATTGACGACCTCTTGGAATCGTACCCTTTTGGGTATTTTGTCATCGAAATGGCTGGTGCTTTTGGAAGAGAAGGGCTGACGGAGAAAATGATTTTATTATGGTAAAGGTACGCTGCTGTTCACAGCTCTGTCGGTTTCCTGGGGATTTTTTTGCCGGCACCCTCCCCCCCAAATCTCATTGAGAAAGAAAGAAGCAAATTCTTAGGGTCCCTCTCCTCGCATACGCACAGATAAGTGAGGAAAGTTACAAACCCTATAGATAAAAGCAACTCTTCTGATATCTTAAGATTCTTTTAGAAGTAGAGTAACTACACTGTAAAACGCTCTAATTAAGATTTACATCTTTCCTGCAAAAAGACAAATGTCCTTCTGGCACTTGTTTATCTTTCGTTATCCCTTTCTCCTATTGTCTGTTAATTGATTACTTAAGACGGCTATGACAACGTACTTCAAAAGTTTTTCTTCCTTCAGATCTAGGGAGTTATTTCTCAGGAAAATACGTTTCAGGCCTATAGGTTAAAAATTCACTGTTTCCTGAAAACGTATCGATGATGTGGACTTTGGAAGTGACATCATTAGAATGCAGCGTTACATCACATTTTCTCATAGTTCAAATCAAACGAATGAACTTTATGTTCCCAATGGGGTCCATTGTTTTTCCAAAGCTCAAAAGGGAAAGAGTACAAAGGGACCAGGCCTACAAATGTCTGAGGGCACCACCACCACCGGTTCTCAGCCACTTTCTTACAGACACAGCGAAAGGCCAAGAACATGCAGGCAGCAGCCATATTATAGGTGATGAGCAAATGAGTGAAGGGGCGACAAGGTCAGGTGACTGCTTAACTAGGTAATTTAAAAAATGGGTATCTTTTGTCTCCATTACAGACTTTAGGGGCTATTTCCACCAGGCTGCTCCTCAGTCGACTGCGGGAGTCAGGAAATGCGGGCTTTTTTCCCCTACGTTACTTACTTACTTACTAGATTTGTATTGCCGCCATGGTGCCTCAAGGCAGCCTACATATAAAACCGCAATTTTAAAACAATAAAACTCGTAAAATCAAACTAATATAGTAAAATCACCCACATTTTCCCCCCCCTCCCCCGGCCAGCGACAGCAGATCACACGAGCCATTTAATGGGCTCCATCCCGCTCTGGAGTCACGTGGCCTGCTCGCCGAACACCAGGTCTTCAACGCCTTCCAGGAGAGAATCAGCGTGGGAGCCAGTCTAAGGGAATGAGGTTCCAGAGAGAGGGAGCCACAATGGAGAAGACCCTTCTCCATGTCCCAACAGGTGTATCTCCCTCAAGGATGGGACCCGCAACATTCCCTGCCTCCCCGCTCTGATGGGTCGGGTAGATGTGACCGGCAAGACACGGTCCCTCAGGGAGTCCTTCTTGTGGCCGTGCTGTTCGAGCCTTCCCACCACGCGGGCTCACCCTAAACAGCTCCGCAGGGGTGCGCGAAGCGGAATACAAGGGAAAAGAAGCGGACCGTGTTGGAAAGAGCGGAGAAGAAGCCGGGGACTGCTGCCGAGAGCAGACAGGAAGTCCGCCATGCCGAGAAGGTCATTGGGGCAGGAAGTGGAGAGAGGACCGGAAGTCGGCCTGGGGAGGGAACGAGAGGCGGCCTCCGTCTGGCAGTGGAGCGCATGGGGGGACGGCGGCGGCGGGAGCGGCGGGAGGTCGCGCGCCCCCTCCCTCCCCGCCCCTCCCCGCGGGTGAGCGGCACCGGCGACAGCAGCGCCGCCAGCAAGAAGTCCGCCGCCGCCCTGGGCTACACCTCGGACCGCTTCGTGATGCAGCTGTTGCCCCGGGGAAGCCCGCGCCGCGCCCCCGCCATCCACCGGTGAGGGCCCCCGCCCCGTTCGGCGCTTCCAGGGGGGCTGCGGGGCGCGGGTCTCCTCTCCGGGAGGAGGCGCGGCCGCTTACGCTCTTTTCTCCCCCCCCACCCCGCCGCAGGGGCTACTACGTCCGGGCACGAGCGGTGGAACGGAGCGTGCGGGCCTTCCTGCTGGGCACTCGGGGCCAGCCGCGCAAGCAGGCAAGTTCGGCGGCGGCCCCCTCTCTCTCCTTCCCTCCGCAGCGCCGTCTTTACCGCGCGGCCCCCTTACTTCCTTCCCTCCCGCAGGTGGTGTCGCTGGGCGCCGGCTGGGACTCGCTCTACTTCTGCCTGAAGGATGCGGGGCTGCTGGCGGGAAGCGGCGAGCCGTTCTTCGAGGTGGACCTCCCGGAGGTGGCCTCCCGCAAAGCGGCCCGGATCTCCGGCTCGGCGGAGCTGCGCGCCTTGGCTGGGAGAGGCGGCGGCCCCGAGGATCTCGGTGGGTATGCGGGGGAAGGGGAGGATGGGAGCGGGCTGGCCCGGACCGAGCGCACTTCGCCTCCCCTGCAGGAAGCGTCAAGTATTCCGGGGATGGTTACCAGCTCCTGGGTGTGGATCTCTCCGACGTGGCTCTGCTGGAGGGGGCCCTGCGTGGCGCCGGCCTGGACCCCACGACACCCACCCTGATCCTTGCGGAGGTGGTCCTGCCCTACATGGAGGTTGAGAGGTTCGTGCTTTGGTCCTTGCGGCCATCCAATAGCTCCAGCCCCACCTGGGTGCCTGACCTGTACTTGGAAGGACAAGTTTTATGTTAAATTGCAGCAGATTGTGGCTTTCCAAGGTTAGGGCGCGTGTTTCGCATCTTAGATTGAACATGCCGTATATTCTTTTTGTTTTTGCATTCCTCTGATTTCTCTGGATGTAACTACTGTGCAACTTATCAAGTAAGTGTCGTTTTCAGCTACAAAGTAGAACCAAGCAAACCACCTAGCCAAATTTTCATACATGAGAGCCCTACTGCAATATTTTGAGGTTGAAGCCAAGACGTTAGTTTCTATGCTCACAAAGAGACCATTGAAAATCTCTTCCCTGTATCAATCGCTGTTGAAAATTTCAGCATAGGAGCCTCAAGATTGAATAGGAGCAGACTGGAAGCTCTCCCCTCCTCTGGTTGCTGCCCCACAAGGTCAAATGAGACATTGCGCAACTGTCCTTAAAAATAAGTTCTCTGTTGTGGCAGCAGTTTTGGATCGTGGATCCTTCTACTTTCTCTAATCCTACCATCTCCTTAGGGGATATTCAGAACCAACACTTCCAAGCTTTGGCAGGTGGGATCTCTTGCTGAGGCCTCGGATTCATCTTCAGCTTTGAACTGGGGAACAGTGAATGGTCCTGAAGCTTCTGAAGACTTGGACTTGTTTGTGGGGTCATATGGCTCCTTGGCCTCCAGCTGAATGGCCTGGACTTTTCTTCCTTGGTGCGCTTCCCCCTTCTTTCTGGTTCATTCCAGGTCAGATGCTCTGATTCAGTGGGCAGCTGGGCACTTTCAGAGGGCCTGCTTCATTCTGTACGAGCAGATTCATCCCAGCGACCCTTTTGGCCGTATCATGCAAAGCCATTTCAGCCGTCTACAGTCTCCACTCCGCTCCCTAATTTCCTACCCAGACTGCAAGACTCAACAGATGCGCTTTCTCCAGAGGGTGGGTGTGAGCCTTGGACTGGTGGAAGGGAGGCAAGGGGGCCCCAGTGGGATGGCTGTGCCTCGGTCTTAATGCCACAGCCTTCTCTTTAGGGCTGGACGGAATGCCACATCGTGGACATGAACGAGTTCTATAGGAGCTTTGTGCCTGGAGAAGAACAAAAGAGGATTCAAGCTCTGGAGCCCTTTGACGAATTTGAGGTTGGTCTGCCCTGGTGTGTGCAGAATGTGGAGAGGGAGGAAAGGTGGTTTGCAGCCAGCCACGAGAGGAAGAGTTTATTTCTCTGTGGCCAGCGGAGTGGAAATACGGTGGCAGCAGAAGAGTATTTTCATCTGATGCAACCGAAATATGATATACAGGATGCCGGTAAAACCTTAAAGTAGGATATAAAATAATTCTTATTTGTAGTACTAAAGCTATTGCATTTGAGCGCGCAGCAATATTACATTTAGTTTATAGAAGTGCACGAGGTGTTTCTAACCTTTGTTTGCTGCCAGTCTGCTTCCTCAAGTTCTCAGAATGCCCCAATGCGTAGAGGTGTTTGTTGTGATTGACTGTCTACGGTAACCTCTCTGTTCTTCCAGGAATGGCACCTGAAGTGCTCCCATTATTTCATCCTGGCTGCATCTAAGGGAGAGGCCTCCTTTGCACCTCCTGTGTTTTCCAGGATGGAAGGTAAAAGCCTGACGTGTCCTCTGCCCTGGGTGCCAGTGATGATGACTTGGTGGGTTGTTTTCATTCTGTTTTATCTCCCTGACCGGTGCATTTGCACAAGGACTAACGGAGGCCTGCAGGTCTAAATATTACCAAAGTTGCATTACCTCTGATAGTTCCTAAAGCGGTTCTATTTAGAGAAGTACAGTAGCATTACCTATAAAGGATCTTTTCTTTTGTCCTCTCGCCATACAGATTTCCTGAAGGCATCTAGTTAATCATTGATGGTACCGGAGGCTGTGCAAGGTGGGCTGTCCCCCCCCTATGCAGCTCTCTGTTTTTTTAGATCTTCTCTTGAAAATCCCTTCACTTAAAAAGGAATTAAAGTGATACCCCCAAAGCGGTTCCTTCTCTGTTGTGAATCATATATACGGAATACCAAGAGTGTAGGTTTCTAAGCAGACTTTACAAAGGTTCTCTTCCAGGGGCAGTTTATTAAATTTATTTTTTACCCACCTCGCTGTCATCTGGGTAGCTTACAACATAATAAAGTACATTAGAACATTAATACATTAAAACACCAAGAATTAACATTTTGAAAGGTTGAAAGCTAAGTTTCCCAACAGTGCTGCTGACTCAGAGTAATGGAATCCTAGGGATTGGGACCTCCCTTATGCAGTTCAGACCATCCCAAATTGGAATGGCTGTCCAATCACCCCTTGAAAATCTCCCATGAAGCAGCATCCACAACTTTGGAGCTTTCTTGGCTCTCCCTCATCCAGGTTTGGACTATCCCCCCGCCCCTCCCGATGGTTCGTGTCTTAACCTTGGTCATTCTGGAGAAGAAGTCCACAGCACCCCTTTCTGTACTGGAAGGCCAACCCCATGCCTCCCTCAGCCTTCCCTGCTAAACGTTCTTTCCAGTGGCTTCGACTTCTTCAGGAAGCGCTGAACAGCTCAGCTCTATTACCTTTGGCTCAGTGCCACCCACCCCGCCTCTTGCAGGCTGAAGGGAATCCTTGGGGGGAGGGGGGAATAGACGATGGAAGGCTAGGGACCCCATGCATTGCGTGGGGCGTGCAAGCTTTGCTTCCTGAGGCTAGGATGGTTCCCTGGCATCTTCATAAAGGCACTTTTGTTCATCAAGCGTTGGGAGCATATGCACCCACCCTCTTTGTGTCTTGTTTTGTATTTTATATTTTGCTCATTGTTTTTCTCCCTCTCTCCATGTACCAGCCTGGATCTGGTACAGGAGAAAAGCACTCCTTCACCTGTGGTTAATGTGTGGCATTTTCTTCCACGGGCATGGCAGTGGGGACTATACCGGCTGGCTGGCTCACCAAGGCATTGATCAGATCTCAGAGACTCCATGTTAGCTGGGGAGGGGGGGTGGGCAGTGTGCTTCCCAACAATGGAGAGATAAGGTTGTCCCTCCAAACCTGGTTGAGAGCTCTCCAGAAACACCTGGTTGGCCACCTCAGCCAAAATGAGCCTGGCCGGATGCAGCAGGGCCTTTCTTACCTTTATTAAGTTCAAAAAGGACCCATGGCTTTTGGAAAGATTCATCGTTCGGGTAAGAAGAGGAAACGGGTGGGGGGGTGGGGGCTGTGCAGGGACCTTTTCTTACAGAACCAGATCAGTCTTTCCTAAGGCACCTTCATCTGGAGGAGAGAGGCTGCCTGCTGCTGGGGTGGCTGTGTTTTGCTGCTGGAATGACGTGGCTATGTCTTTTTCTGCCTTGCAGCCTCCCCGGCTCACTGCGCCCCTTGCTTCGCTGGGACTGTGGCTACATCCTTCTGTGTGGCAGGTGGGGCAGTGGCTGGCCTGAAGCGCTATGGTCATTGCTCAGTGCTCCTCACCCCGGACATAATTCTAACCACTGGGGGCTTTGGGGACCATGGTGGACGCCACTGCCGCCTGACTGAGCTGCATATTCTGGTCAAGCACCAGGGCGGCTGGAGAAGTGGCAAGGTCAGACTGGCTGAGCTAGGAATGGCTTGGGGTAAGTGACCGGGATGGCGGGGGGAGGACCCCTTGGTGCAGCCAAATGGGCCCTCTCTGGCTACGAGAGCGTTCTTCTCTCCTTCCACAGACGGGCGGCTTTTCCACACTGTGAACGTCCTGCGCTCAGGCTGGGCTGTTGTGCTTGGTGGCCGCAAGTCCCCAGAGAGCCCTGCTCTGCCACCCCTCTGCTTAAAGGGGCTGGCAGATGCTGACCCTTTGAGCCCGGGCAACCCCGTCATTGAGCTCGCTCCGCTGCTGCCAGTCGAGGGCCTCGCGGGCTTCTCCGTGCCCCGCTGGAGACACACCACCACGGTGGTCACGCAGGAAGGTAGGAAAGGAAAGCTCACCCCCTGGGGGGAAGAGGCAGGGAATGGTCCCGATGAAGCCCAGCTTTCCTTCGGAGGCCAGTTGGAGACTTCTGGGAATCGCTCCCCGCTGCTCCTGGGCCTTGGGCTCAGCCCCCGCCCCCCCAGTTTATCAGGCACTCGGGCAGTAACAGTTTTTGCCAGCTGTTCAAAGAAGAGCTGGCAGGCGTTGGACCCACTGCAAATGCTCCACATTCTCCTCAAAACAAAGCCCAGTGGTCCTGGGTCTCCGGAGTCCCAGTCCTTCGGCTCTTCCCACTAGCAGACCTGAGGTGTGTCGGGCACCTTGGGAGGAGGAGAAAGGGGTGGAGGGAAGGGACCTTGACTTTCTGCTCTCTTTCTAGGGCAGGCTTACCTCTTCGTCTACGGAGGCTGCAGTTCTGGGCAGTCGGTGCTCACCGATTGGTATTTTCTGCATTTGGAGGGGCTCCACTGTCAGCAAGTGCAGGTGGGTTAAGGCCTCTTTGGACCCATTCGGGAGCCTGTCCCCCATTTAAGTGCTGCAAGAGCCCCTTAGGACGCCTCTTTTGGCTGTGGTGGTCGGATAGAGAGCCCTGGGAGATGGGTGGGTTGTACCTGAATTTGAAGGTTAGCCTCAGTGTCATCCCTTGCACTGACAGAAGAGCGTAAAGAGCCCCTCCGGAGAGTGCGGGGCCTCAAGGGACTCCTTTCTCGATTCTCTTGTATTCCTTGACAGAAATAGTAACTAACGTGCTTAAATTCTGGCCAAGTAAAACACCTTAGGGAATTTAAACACCTAGGAGCCTAGAGTTGAAGGGTCTTGGGGTCCAGCCCCCCCAGACCAGCAGAAATCCTTAGGCCACCCCAAAACCTCCAGTGCTGGAGGCCCCACATTTCCCAAGTAGTGACTATGCAGGAGTTCTCGTGGTGAGGACATTTTTGCTCATTCCATGTTTGGGTCTTTCTCCATAAGACTTCCCTCCAGCAGGCTCTTGCCCTTCCCTGGGGCCCCACGGAGAAGACGCACCCAGCCTCTTCCCCTGGGAAGCGCTTCCAAGTAGGGGAAGGCTGGGTTCCCATCCCCCCGCCCCCCCCAGCCTTCCTCCAGTCCAAACATACCCAGTTCCTCTAGCCATTTATCGTTGGATTTAGCCTCCCTCCTCAACTCGGCTGCACTCATTTCTGTTCCTCAACATCCTTCTGGCCAAAGTTATGGCCAAAACTGGACCCGGTCTTCCAGGCGAGGCCTGAGCAGTGCAGTGTTGGGGAAACCGTTCCTTCCTGTGATCATGACCCTTTGCCTCCACTGAAGCATCCCACACCACTTTAGCTCACTGGGCAGCTGCAGGGGCCGTGTGCTGGCCCATGCCTCTAGCAGCAGCTCCTTCTCTAAAGCAACCACTCTGGGCGCCTAACGAGGCAGTAATGCCCCCCCCCTCTGCTCCCCCTTGTCAGATTCCAGTGGAGGGTCCCGTTCCAGTTGGCCGCCACTCACATAGTGCCTGCAGCTGGGCAGGTGGGGTGCTCATCGCCGGTGGCCTGACAGCTTCTGAGGAGCTGCTGGGCAGCCTCCTGTTTCTGAAGCCAGCCGGGAGAGGCTTCCGGTGGCATTCTCTCGAGACCTGTCCCCCGCTCACGCCCAGGTAAGAAAGTAAGCCATGCCTCACCCCGTTCCCCCAGGGCAGTCTGCAGGTTAGCTTCTCTGGCCATAACCCAGCCTCCAAGCTGAGCCCACCCTCTAGGGCAGTGTGTGTCCAGTGGCTGCTGAGACTCGTCTTTTCACCCCGGGGCTTCTGAAGGTGACGCTTTCTTGAACATTCTGTCAAACAGCCGTTGCAGAAAGAATCCCAATGGCATTCTCCTCTGGAATTAACTGAAAAATAAGCATGTGCACTGTTTAGCGGGAAAGCCAACGATACCTGAAGGGAGGCTGGCCTGGGTCTTGCTGCTGCTGTTCCCCCTCTGCTCAGGCAGGGATTTCATCTGCACCTTCTTGGCTGTCTGGGAGGGTAGGAGGGCTCCTGCCCAGCACAGAGCTTTGTTGAAGATCTCTTCCAACCTTAGGAGTCTATGGATGAGCGGTGAGCAGAGCCGACTGGCCAGTCTGTGAGCCTTGTCAGCATTTCTGCTTAGGGACCGCTTGTGTCTCCTAATAAAAGGCCTGGAGGACAAATGAGAACTTTTATGCCTCTCAAGGTTAAGATTAACAGAGTTGGAAGGGACCTTGTACTGTAGGTCATCTAGTCCAACCCCCACACACCCCCTATCCAAACAGGAAACCCTACACCCAGAGGTGGTATTCAGCCAGGTCAGACCAGTTCTGGCGTACAGGTAGCGGGAATTTTGAGTAGTTTGGAGAACTAGCAAATGCCACCTCTGGCTGGCCCCTCCCATCCTCCCCCACCCTTTCCTATCCTATATTCCCTTGTTTTTTAGCTCAGCTATTTGCATGGCAGAGTGGATTGCCATGCCTCAGCTGAGCTGAATAAACAGCTCACCTCACTAGCACTGACACAGAGGGTGATTTTTGAGTGTTAGGCGTACTCTCATAAAACCAGTAGGAAAAAAAATGTGGATTCCCACCACTGCCTACACCATCTCTGACAAATGGCCGTCCAATCTCCTCTTGGAAGCCTCCAGGGATGAAGCTTCCACAACTTCCAAAGGCAACTTCTGTTCCATTGGTTGATTGCTCTCCCTGTCAGAAAACTTCTTATTTCCAGGTTGAATCTCTCCTTGTTCAGTTTCCATCCTTGGTTCCTTGTCTGGCCTTTGGATGCCTTGGAAAATAGCTTGACCCTCTCCTCCTGTCCGGGGCAGCCCCTCAAATATTGGAACACAGCTGTCTCCCCTTAGCACAACACAACTGAAAAATAGAAATAAGAGATCCCAGAAGAAAGCGGCATGGCTGCCTAAAGAACTGGTAAACTGAAAGACAAAAAGAACACGTATAAAAGGTGGAAAGAGGGATGCATGACTAAGACAGAATAACAGGATAAAACCCAAATTTGCAAAGATGGAGTCAGGAAAGCTGAGGCTCAGAAAGAACTAAAGCTTGCAACAAATGTCAAAAATTTTAAAAAGCTTTCAGAGTGTAAACAACAAGAAAAAAGTCAAGGAAGGTCCATTAATGAGGGAAGATGACGGGGAAGTGACAGGCTGCAAGGACAAAGCAGAATTGCTTAATCCATTCTTGGCATCTATCTGCACACAAAAAGAAAAACAGTCCAGTCTATCAAAAGCAATGCACCCCAGAAGGATCTCGATGAACACTGCGGTCTGTCCAGTAATACAGAATTCAGGGGAGCGGGAGGTGTTCCTTGGTGCTCTCTGAACTTGCGTGTTTTCTAGCAAACATTTCAATACTCTAACTAGGTAACATCCTCAGTGCTAGTAAGGAGTGCCGTTTGCTGTCACTTGATATTCTGGTGTCTTGCCTGTCTGGGTAGGTGGGGTTGGGCTTAGTGATTCTTTGGTTGGGCCGTTGATTGATGGCTCCTCGGCAGTTTCTTGATTGGGGTATTGCTTACTTGTTGGTTGAAAGTTGACCTTGGAGTTAATCTACACTGATCTGAGTGTGGATCACTGATGGAAAGACTTTGCATTTAGGCAAGAAAAGCAAAATCCACAGGAATAGTATAAGTGGTACCTGGCTCAACAGCAGAAACTGTGAGGCGTATCTAGGAATCCTGGTGGACAGTCATTTGTGGCTCCTGCCCAGAAAGCAACAAAGATACTTAGGGGACTGGAGGCTAAAACATACGAGGAATGATTGCTGGAATTGGGGGTGTCTGATGAAAAGAAGGAGTGGGGTGGCATGATAACAGTATTTGAGAAGTGGGGGGTCAACCTGTTCTCCAGAGCACCTGAAGGCAGGACAAGGAGCCATGGCTGGAAACTAATCAAGGAGAGAACCTAGAAATAAGAAGGAATTTCCTGATGGAACAACTAATCAGTGAAACAGTGTGACCCAGGAGAAGTGACCTAGGTGCTCCTTTAATAAAGTATCATTTTAACCAGTGGCTTGTGTTGATTCTCCAGAAGAGAAGTTCCATAATACGGGGAGGGATGGGGGGGAACTTGGCTGGGTCTCGGCTCCTCCCATCGGGCGCAGAGGAGACCCACCCACCTCTTGCTTTCCCCCAGCAAGGTCTGGTTTTGTCAGAGCGGCAGGGAGCGCCCAGCCAGTTAAATCTTGTGGGGGAGGTTGGGGACCTGGAGAAGCTGGAATTGGCCCAGCATTAGAGGACTAACACTCCCTCTCTTTTGTGTCTTCTGCCCAGGTATTCACACACGGCTCATGTGCACCGTGGGAAACTGTTGCTCGTGGGTGGGGTCTGGCTCAGCCCTCCTTTGGTGCCGGGCGTTGCTGTGATAGACCTGGAGACAAGGGCTCTGGCCGAGTATCGTATCGACACAGTGAGTTGAAACGTTGAGGCAATTGGGGTTCTCTTCGGCTCTTCTCCCCATGGAGGCGAAGCACTCTTGGCCAAGGTCAGCGGCAGGAGAGGCTGCCCTTTTAGTATTGATGCTGGTACTTTCCTCCTGAAATACTAGTTAAGAAACATCAGCTCAGTTGTCTTCCAAGGAAGATGGTGGGTGCAATTGCCAGAGCATCAGCAAGTACCCTTGGATGCAGTTTTTCCAGCTCCAGAGAGTTACATTCATTTGCAGAAGATGCTAGGTGCTCCTAGAACAAGCTCCAACCTGCCCTTGTTTTGCTGTTCACAACTCCTGGTGGAATACAATCCCTCTCTTCTTGGAGCCGTGAGAGTACTTGACATTAGGAGTTGTCCTGGTGGTCTTGGCTCCTTTTGCTCAGGAGCCTCGCTAGAGATGCGGTTCTGAACAGATAAATCACATGTGTGGAGACAGACATCTGAAAGAAGGTGGGGGTGGGGGTGGGGGTGGGGGTGGGGGTGGGGAGACACCCGCTGTGGTTCTGCCTCAAATCCACCCTGAGCCCAGGAATGGGATCTACAGGGCATTCAGAAAGTATTTGGACCCCCTTCAGTTTTGTCGATTTGATTGTACTGCAGCCTGATTCTACAGTTGTTGAAATTAATTATTTTTTCATTAATCTACAGTGCCCCATAATGACAAAATGAAAGCAGAATGTTAGAAATGTTTGTACGTTTATTAAAAGGGAAAAACTGAAATATCACATTGGCATAATTATTCAGGCTCCAGTTCTCTTGATTGTTGCTGACAACTTGATTGGAGTTGACCTGTAGTAAATTAAATTGAACCTGGTTGCCTGGTCAAACTGAGCAATCAGAGGAGAAGAGCCTTAGTAGTAACAGCAGTGACCAAGAACCCGATGGTCACTCTGACTGAGCTCCAGAGATCCTGGTGTGGAGATGGGACAGAATTCCAGAAGGACAACCATCACCGCAGCCGTCCACCTATCTGGGCTTTATGGCAGAGTAGCTAGACAGAAGCTTTCTTCAGTGCAAAACACGTGAAAGCCCGCTTGGAGTTTGCAAAAAAGCACCTGAAGGACCCTCAGACTCTGAGGGAAAGATTCTCTGGTTTGGTGAAACCAAGATTGAACTGTTTGGCCTCAATTCTAAACGTCACGTCTAGAGAAAACCAGGCACCGCTCATCAACAGCCTGATATCATCCCAACAGTGAAGCGTGGTGGTGGCGGCAGCATCGTGCTGGGGGATCGGTCAGGGTTGAGGGAAAGCTGAATGGAGCAAAGCACAGGGACATCCTCAATGAAAACCTGTTCCTCAGCGCTCAGGACCTCAGACTGGGCGGGAGGTTCACTTTCCAACATGACCAATGCGGCCCTAAGCGCACAGCCAAGACAACAGAGGAGTGGCTTAGGGGCAGCTCTCCGAATGTCCTAGCGTGGCCGAGCCAGAGCCCTGCCTTGGAGCTTATTGAACATCTCCGGAGGGACTTGAAAATGGCTGTCCACTGGCCTTCCAACCTGACTGAGCTTAAGAGGACTTGCCAGGAAGAATGGCAGACAATTCCCCAATCCAGGTGTGAAAAGCTTGTCCTGAGTGTAGATTCATGAGAAACAAAATGAATTTCAACAACTATAGAATCAGGCTGCAGCATAACAAAATGGACAAAGAGAAGGGGGTCTGAATACTTTCTGAATGTAATTTACAAGATGAGGAAGAGCCAAGATGGGTATCGCTGAGATACTCTTGTGAGCAGGTCCAGAATTTACCCAGAGCGGCCAAGGGCAGAGGCAGCAGGAGCTCAGAAAGGCATGAAGGGATCCATGTCAACAAGCAGGCGAGGCTGGAGAACAAACACTGGGAGAAGGGGGGCTGCTGGCTCCTGTGCACTGGGGAGGAAGGAAAGCAAGAGACTTGGCAGGAAGTGCTGTGCTGTGTGTCGGATGTGCCTTCATTCAAAATCGAAGAAAGAAAATCTTTGACTCCGTTCTTATAGAGAAAAGTACTTTTACTGGATATGAAGTGATAGCAACAAAGGAAATGCAAGATCTGAGGCAAAAGGCATGGAAATTACATACAGAAAGTTATCCCAGGTCCTCACCCCCAATAGTTCAAACTGGGCATCCAGTCTGAGGTGTGCATAATGTCATGTGGGTTACATCTTCAGGTGGTGTCTCGCACATCTGGTATGCCGGGACGGTTGACCTTGGCCTAGAAAGATAAGCGGATGCGTTTGCACAGTAAGCAGGAAAGCATCCCAACTTTTACAATTCACACAACTTCGGTCTCCAGCACCCTTCCCCCCATGAAGCCCAATTATTCCTCCCCCCTGTTTCCATGGCAGCCAGCAAGAGTCAAGCAGAAGTGTAAATCTGGGAGGCTGACATTCGGCCCTCCTGCAAAAGAGATGTTAGCCCTGGAAAAGGTAAGAGAGTAAAACACTAGGAAAATAAACATCCCAGATATAACATTATATACAAAAGAACGTTAAGACTTGTCAGGATATTTCGATCAAAAAGCTTGTATAAGTTTAGGGACCCTGCCATCACGGTCATTTACCCATTCTGACTGAGAAGGAGGAAAATGTTTCCAAACTACTAAATATTGGAGTCTTCCTCTCCGTTTCCTGGAATCCAGAATTTCCTTAATTTCAAAATGTTGTTCACCTTCAATCAGAAGAGGAATTGGTGGAGCAGCCTGGTCAGGTTGCAAATGGAAAGTATGTTCAGGTTTCAGCAAACTAACATGAAAGACAGGGTGGATCCTTCTAAGGGATTTTGGCAGTTGTGGCTGCACAGCAACAGGATTCACCACTTGGACAATCGGGAAAGGCTCCACATACTTAGGTCCCAATTTTTTAGATTTCTGGGTGGTCTGTCAATACTTAGTGGACAAGAAGACCTTATCTCCCAGCTGGTATGATTTATGTAGAATTCTATTTTGTCTGCTTGTTTTTTATGAGCCTGATGGGTATCATCCAATGCTTTACAGGTAACCGGCCAGGTAAGCTGGAGCTGAGTTATCCACTTTGCTAACGATGGGATTTGGGGTTTCTCTTGTGGTAGCTCTGGGATGAGTACAAAATCCTGACCTGTAGCTACTTTAAACGGGGTGAAATCAGTGCTATTATGAATGAAGTTACTGTAAGCTACTGTGCAAAAGGCAATAAATCAGACCAGTCAACCTGTTGATAATTTGACATAACATACCAAGTTAGCTCTCTCACACACCCTATTAGTTTGTGGGTGGTGGGCGGAGATTAAGGCCTGGGCAGAGCTCAATATCTTCAAGAATTCCCTCCAGAAATTCATAGTAAATTGAAACCCCCATCTGAAATTATATGCTCAGAAACACCATGTAGTCTATACACATGTAAAATGAACAGTTTAGCCAAAGTTTTTGCAGAAGGGATTTTTGCACAGGGTACAAAATGTACCTGCTTGGAAAATAGGTCAATAACCTATCCAAATGACTGTATTTCCCCCACTCTTGGGTAATTCCACAATGAAATCCATGGAAATTTCCTTCCACGGGGCACTCGGTCTAGCTGCATTTTGTAGCAGACCAGCAGGTTTCCAAGGAGGTTGTTTGGCTGAAGCACAAACAGGACAACTAGCTACATACGCTTCTATGTCTTTTTTTCAAAGATGGCCACCAAAATTGTCGTTTGACCAAGTGTAAGGTTTTCACAAAACCAAAATGCCGAGCAACCTTCAAATCATGTTTCAGGATGGCACCTCTAAGGCTAGCTGGGACGCGTAACTTTGCCCCCACCCATGCTAGACTATCATGAATAGTACAATCATTCGAGTGATTGTAATCGTCCAATTTTAAAGCTTTTAATTGTTCAGTTAAATCATTTAAAAGGTTGACATTCCCCTGGGCTCTGGTGACCACTGGGGCAGCCAGTTGCTTTGTAGGAACAATAGGATGATCACTTCATGATGGACGCTATTGGGGCAATCTTGATAAAGCGTCAGCCCTAAAAAAATTCCCCCCAGCAGGTATTGTAATGAAAAGTTAAACCGCTTAAAGTATTGCGCCCAACAAATTTACTTGGGAGACAGCTTTTGAGGGGTTTTCAACATCTCTAGCTTTTTATGATCCATCCACACCTCAAAGGGGTGTGCCTCTTCGAGGAACTGTCTCCAAGTTGTAAGCACAAGGTTGTAAGTTTCCATTTGCATTGGATTGAAGCAGTACTGCTCCCACTGCCACATCACTGGCATCAGCCTGGATCACAAAAGGAGCATCCATATCTGGGTGCTTAAGCACAGGTTCAGCTGCAAAGAGTTGTTTCAGTTTCTCAAAAGCTGCCTGGCTCTCCATAGACCATTCCAATGTTCGGTTAGGTTTTGGTTTCAGTTCTCCTTTAGTCTTTAGGAGGTTTGTAATGGGCAACACACTCTTTGCAAAAGCCAGGATAAATCGATGGTAGAAATTAGCAAACCCTAGAAAACTCTGCAACTGTTTTCTGGTGCGCGGGGGAGCCCATTCTAAAATGGCTTGAACCTTCTATTCCTTCATGTGATATGTGATACCCCAGAGAGACAATTTTCTCTTGGTGAAATTCGCATTTAGATAACTTAGCATACAGTTCAGCCACTTAGAGCTTTTTCAAGGCTGACCTCACCAACTTCACATGCTCGTCCATGGTTTTCGTATAGATAAGAATATCGTTGAGATAAACCAACACCCCCTTGTATAGGTGTTCATGCAGCACCTCGTTTATCAGTTGCATGAATATGGCAGGGGCTCCTTGCAGGCCGAACGGGAGAACATTAAATTGAAAAGAACCCAAAGGGCAATTAAATGTAGTCTTCCATTCATCCCCTTCCTTAATTTGGACTCGATAGTAAGCTTTTCTCAAATCAAGCTTAGTAAAAATCTTTCCCTTGGCAAGGTGAACTAACATGTCCTTCATTAAGGGGAGTGGGTAAATGTTTTCCACACAAATGGCGTTCAGGCTTTTATAGTCCATGCATAAGCGAAAGGAGCCATCTTTCTTTTCTTGGAAAACTGGGGCCGCCACTTGGGGCCTGGCAGGTTGGATGAAACCCCGTTTTAGGTTTTTATCGATGAAAAACCACAATTCCTCTAACTCTCGTGATGTCATTGAATACAGTTTTGGCTTAAGGAGATTCATTCCAGGGAGGATCTCTATGCTGCAATCTCTGGGGCGACGGGGGAGTGCATCCAACGCCTTCTCGCTACAAATCTCCCTGAGGTCCTCCCCCATAATGCATTCACTAGCCACCGATGCCCACTCCTTGGGGCCTTAACTAGGGACGGCTCCTCTTCTTGAGGTTGGTTGGTGCGTATGCGCAACAGCTCCTTCTTAGGGAGTCCACTTAGGGATTCCATTTTCTAAACCAGGGTAATCCAAGTAATAAGGGGCGCTCCATCCCCAATCTTGGAGGCTGATACTGTGATTTGATATCCCTGGGTCTTCTTGGAGTCGTCGTGACAGGTGGAGACTACCGTCCTGCTTCACATTTACTGTAGCATCGAACCAGGAGTCCACTTGTCCATCACCACTTAATGCCCTCCCTTAAGGGGGAGCGAGGGAGAAGGTAGATTTGTCTTTGTGTTCTCAGCTGCCTGGTTCCTAAACTTGCCTCTGGTCTCTTTCTTCTGTTGCAGACACTTCTGGAGTGGCCCCTAATGTTACACAACCATAGCAGTGTCCTTGTGCCCGACACGGAGGAGATGATTCTTACTGGGGGAGGCGGAAACTGCTTTTCCTTTGGGACTCATCTGAATTGGTCACCTGTCTGCCTGGATCTGAGCAGCATCTGGAGGGCTGGGCTTTGACATCTTGGGGGTCAAGAGGATAGGAGAAGGGCCGAAGCAGCACTGGGTGACTCAGGGGACTGGACCCCTTGAATTTGAGAACATCACCCCTCCCTCCTCCAGCCATTCTACACAGTGGCAGCCTCTCCTAAGAGAGTTACGCTCTTGCTCCAAGGAGAAGATACTTCGTCAGTGGCCCCTGGGGCAAGGAGTCCACCCGCCCTAAAACTCTCAGCCCCATCTCCTTTGCTGCCTCCCGGACAGTGGCCACGGTCAGCATGAGGATCCAGTAGGTTTCTGGGGGATTTTTATAGTTTCCTTCGTATACCCTCTCACCTGCTTCAGCTGTGACAGCCGCCTTCTGCAGCAGTTTCTAGTGATTTCAACTGCTTGGAGAGAGCAACACAGCAAAAGGGGCTGGCTTGTTCCCAACAGAAAGCCAAACCCGTTTTCCTTCCAGGGACGGACTGTGTTCGCTTCTGAGCCTCCAGGTTATTATACCCTAAATACGCTCTTCATTTAATAGCAGCATAACAAATACAAGATTTTGTTATATTTGAAGGGTGCAGTGACAAATATAGTGACGGAATACAGCAGTATTCTGTAAAAAAAAAAAAAAAAGTTGGGATGAAGCTGAAGCCTGAAGAACATGAACCAACATGGGTTTGAAATGCTTAAGTTGCTCCTGCTATGTAGCAGCTGTTGCTGCTAGAATTCAGGGAAGAAGCTCCTTGGCTTTCCTCCTGTTTTCCACCCATCCTTATTTTTGCAGCCGTCAACACCCACCAAAGACAGGGATTGCATCCATCTTAGGCAAGAGGGGCGTTTCTCTAAATCTGTTTTGTTCTTCAAAAAATGCCACTAGATGGAGATGTTTCTCACCTGAAGACAAAAGGATTCCTGGGGAAAGCCGGAAGGGCTGCTGGAGGATTGGATTTCTGCTTCCCAGAGCCGCTAATCAGATTCCCTTTCTTGCCACAAGGGTGCCTAGTTGTGAGCTTAGCCTCGGTCAGCCACCAGCTGGCTCGCCAGGAGGCCCTAGCTGGGGTCTTGAGGCCCACCAGTCCCCATTCAGCCAACCTCTTTCCAGCTTAGAATGCTCTGTGAACTATAAATCCTGGAGTCCAGCTAACCACAGTTTGCTCAATCACAGTTTAGCAGGTTGTGCAAACAACCCTCATGGGGAGGGCAGTCCTCCGGAGGACCTTGTTCTGTCCCCTTGGCCTTACCGACTTCCTTTGAAAAGGAGGCCATCTCCTCCTTGGTGAAGTTCACAGACCGCGTCCTGTTCCTGGGCAGGACCCTTCCCTTGTGGTTTGGCAGCACAGCTTCCTCAGCTCCCATCCTGCTCTCCTCAAAGGTGCTTCTGGCCCAGACGCCACCCTGCTCTCCCCACCCCCAGCCGGGTTGGATTTGAACTCGGCCACACAGCCTGTTGCAATAAGGACCAGAAGCTGATCCTTCTCCTTTTGCTAGAAACCCAGCAATGGCTTCTGCAGGTCCATGGTCTCTGGAGTCCGTTTTTGAGAAAGCCTGTGAGGGGGAGGGGGGCATTTGGGCCAAAGGAAGCCAGTGCTGCTCTGCAGAAAGGGCTCGGCTGCCTTTCTCTTCCTCTCCGGAAGGGAGGTGCTGGATGCCACCCTCCTCCCAGGTGGCTGTGCTGGGCGATCTGCTATGCCGGCTGGCTTTGCTTCCTCTTTGCTGGGCAAGGAGACGAGGACCCCACAGGGATGGTCTCTGGGGGGTTAGGAAAGGTCTGCAACCAAGCTCTGCAAAAGACTCCATAGTCTTCATACCATGTGCTTAACTATGTCAGGGCTGGGGCAGCATGTATGAACTGTGCCAATACGGGAGCGGATTTCATCCAAACTGCTATCAGGAAAATGGTACGTCCACCTCATGTAAACTACAAAACCTCAGTAAACTGCAGGGCAGCGTCTTGCTTCCCCCCCCCCCCCCCCCAACGTAGACACTCACCCTGGACTATTGCTCCCAGGAGAAAAGATGGCAGTGTAGCGCTCCTCCTCCTCCTGCCCCCTGCCCCCATCCCAGCCTTACTAGCCCTGTCCTTGTGGGATGCGGGTCAGGGCTGGAGTAAGAGGCAGAGGCTGGTATTCTACCCCCAATGACACCCCCCCCCCCAAAAAAATCTGGCTAAGCGGGCTGATGCACCTGCGTTTGACACCTGGAGAAACCCTCCGGGAACCCATAGGGTAGCTGCTGCCTGGGATCTTCCCTTACATACCCTGATCTAACACTATGCCAAGGCAACATGGAGCGATGCCCAAGGATTGTCCTCCAAGCATAATAGACTGCAGCAAGACATTCAACAAAGTAGACACAACCTACTTCTTGGTAAGCTATAAAAAAGTGGGATAGATAGCATCACCACCAGGCGGGATTTGTAACTGGCTGACAAGCCGTACTCAACGAGTAGTCCTTAATGGTACTATATGGAGGCAAGTAAGCAATGGGGTACCACAAGGTTCTGTCTTAGGTCCAGTATTCTTCAATATCTTCATAAATGACTTAGATGATGAAATAAAAGGGGAACATCACATTTGTGGATGATATTAAGCTGGCAGGAATAGCTAACTCCCAGATGATAAGCTCAAGATCCAGATGGATCTTGACAGATTTGAACACTGGGCCCTATCTACAAAAAATAAAATTCAACATAGAGAAAAGTAAAGACACTTAAGCAAGAAAAAAAAAAGTACGCATATAGACTGGGTGAAACCAGTCTTAACTATGAGAGGGATCTTGCAGCCTTTTAGAATTCATTCTTTATTGGCCGTATGATTGGATACACAAGGAATTTGTCTTGGTGCAAATGCTTTCAGTGTAGATAAAAGATATATTCATCAAGAATCACCAGGTACAACACTTAATAATATTAATATATAATATGTCTTAGTGGACAATCAGCTAAATACGAGCCAGCAGAATGCAGGGGCAGCCCAAAAAGCCAATGCAACCCTAAGCTGCATTAACAGAGGGACACCATCAAGTGCGGTATAATACCACCCTATAAAGCCCCAGGAAGACCACACCTAGAATATTGCATCCAGTTTTGGTCACCACACTATTAAAAAGATGTTGAAAGTCTAGAAAGAGTGCAGAGAAGAGCAACCAGGATGATTAAGGGAACTGGAGACTAAAACAATGGTTACAGGAACTGGGCCTGCCTAGTCCAAGGAAGTAAAGGATCAGGGGAGACATCATAGCAGTGATCCAATATTTGAGAGGCTGCCACATAGAGGAGGGGAGGGGAGCTATTTTCCAAGGCACCCGAAGACCAGAAAAAGAATAATGGATGGAAATTGATTAAGGAGAGATTCAGCCTAGAAGTAAGGAGAAATTTTCTGACAGAACAATCAACCAATGGAACACCTTGCCTTTGGAAGGTGTGGGAGCTTCATCACTGGAGGCTTTCAAGAGGAGATTGGACTGCCATTTGTCAGCAATGGCGCAGGGTCTTCTGCTTGGGCGGGGTGTTGGACTAGATGTCCTACACAGGCTCTTCCAACTCTGTTAAGCAGTCTATAGATCCCAGGCCCTGTTGGCCTGGGAAGGGACCAGGCGATGCATGCATGCCATGGTATCAACTTCTTGGAGGGAGATATGGTGGTGTGCCTGCTCCTTAAGAGGCCATTGCTGGGCCCCTTCATCCTGGATAACTATTAGCTGGTTACCAACCTTCCCTTTTGGGGAAAAAGTGTGGAGCAGGTGGTTGAACGGCAGTTGCAGGGGATCTTGGAGGAAACAGGGTATCTCGACTCGCTTCAGTCAGGCATCAGACTGGACACCGGTATGGAGATAGTTGATCATACCTGTGGATGCCCTGGGCAGAGCTGAGACAGGGCCGGTGCACCCATCCTTGTGCTCCGTGATCTCTCACAGTTTTTTATACCTTTGACGACAGTATTCCGCTACGGGGTTGGGAGAGCGAGGTGGTCAGATCCTTACTCGGTGGTCTGTCTTAGTCAGTGTGGACAGGAGGGGAAGAGATCATGCCTGTGGACCCTTACTTGTGGCACCCCTCAGAGTTCAATGCTGTCTCCCCTTCTGTCCTACATGAATTCGCTGGATGGGCTCATCAGTTTGAGGTCTGGCTTCAGATTTTTTATTCCCCAACTGTCTTGTAGGCAAGCTTAACCACTGAGTCCTGCCTGGTGCAGCCAGGAAAAGGCCTTCCTGAGCTGCAGAGGTGCCATTGCTACTGATGCCTGCAGTGCCTCATTTGCCATGCCGGAGGCATTGGTGCTCCTGGCTGTTGCTGTCTTGCAAAAGGGAGTCATTGTTTTCAGAAGGACATGTAACGACCAAGAAGTTGACATACCAGTTTGGTATTAGATGAAGGTGAACTGCAGGATCTCCAATTATTTTTACATTGCACGTCTTATCTATTTATACCATGATTGCTAATGGAGATATTGGTTTGGCTTGACATCTGTTTTGTGTAGAGTCATCTATTTTAGGTTTTTCAGCATCTGCTTTCATTTGGAATCCATGACGCAAACTAAAACTCTCTTCAGAGCTGCTATGAGTGTCACGAACTTCTCTGAAACCCTGACACCCCTTTTCCTCTTTCCAAAAGCGCCGTGTTGCTGCAAAAAAGCAGATGTTATGCTTGGTAAAAGGCTTCGGTCCAGATACTATGAAGGTGAGGAAGGGGAGGCCCGCAATCTCCCCCAAAGAGAATTAGACAATGGAGGGGGAGCTGGCCAAAACCTACCCCTAAATTCTAGGGCAGGGTTAACTTCTTGGTAATTCTTTCTGCAAATTATTTTTCTAAAGTGCATTCAAATTGACAAAACTGGAGAAAGGGATAGAAGGGAAGCAACAAGCTTTTGTTTTAAAATTACCATTTTTCTCCTCATGAGGATCACTTTGGTCTAGTGGGTAAGACACAGGCTAAAGATTGGGAGATGTTGAGTTCTAGTCCCATCTTAGCCATGAAAGCCAGATGGGCGACAGACTGGGGTCAGCCGTTGAAAGTTATTATTATCTTTATTGTCAGAATACAACATGTGTACAGTGAGATTGGCCTTCAAGCCTCCTCACAGGTTTGTTATTGTTGGGGGGAAATAGGAGGGATGTGTGTTGGAGATATCTGCTGCCATGAGTTATTCATAAAAATAATAAAGGTGGGAGATAAATATGTCTACAGTATCAGGTTTTAGAGCAGAAAGTCAGCTGAGCAGGTGAGAGAGGCAGAAGAGTGAATCCAGAGGGATGCGATTTGCAGGGTTAGGGTTGGGGGTTAGGGGTTGGGGGTTGGGGGGGTCAGCCAGTGGTGGGATTCAAATAATTTAACAACCGGTTCTCTGCCCTAATGATTTCTTCCAACAACCAGTTCACCAAACTGCTCAGAAAGGCTCACCACTGGTTCTCCC